TTCTATTTCACTTTCCAAAATCTGGGGGAAAAAGATAAATGAGACAATTTGTTGCATTTATCAGAGTAATTTTGAAAAGAATTTACAGGGATTAAATTTTGTAGTTAAATTTTAGGTCACGATTTACCATTCAGCAGTGTCTTTCAAACTAATGTGGGTGAGAATCCCTTGGCTTTATTAAAAATACAGATTCTGACTCCATATATTTGAGATGGGGCAAGAATCTGCATGTCTTGACATCATCATCCTAGGTGATGTCAGTGTCCCTGACTATATATACTTTGAGTAACAATGTCATGTCATCTCACATTTCTGGGGATTTCAGAGTAGACCTGAGTAGAAATGATGCCAACTTTGCAGGATCTAGTTGGAGATTTAAAAACTTTGGTAAAGGCTACCACCGTATAGTAAAATGGTGTTTAGGATCCCATGGAAAGGTTAGGAGCATAGTGTGCAAGAAAAGGAAATGCCGCATGCCTTATGCCACAGCCAACTATGGTGTAATGTGTACCAGGTACTGTGCCAAGAAATTTCTTTACATTCTGTATCATGTAGTCAGCAACCCTTTAAGGTATGTTATATTGTCCCTACGTTATGTATGAGGAATTCAGGGATTGCATTAAGTAATTTGTTATATATTGTTAGTGGTCACCTATTTGGCAAAGCCAGGATTCAAATCCTGTTGTGCCTGACTGCAAAAGTGTGTGCTCTTAACTACTAGATTAGAAATAGACCTGATAATGTGAGGTTAGAATTAAATGTTAAATTATATGTTTACTTTCAAGCTTTTTAAGCTATGTCTAAAATAAAGCCAACTTAATTTGAATTTAAAGTAAAATAATTCTGTCCTAAAGTAGATTGCTAAGGTATGTGTTATGTTGATAGTTCAGTTGTCATTTGTTTTTTCTTACGTCATTCATTCACAAAAATTAAGGCCAAAACACCATACTGGAGTTTAGTTTCTAAGCCATTTTTTTACCTAGGCAAGCTTCTACTTCATCTGGAAAGTGTCGAGTAAATGAATTTCCAAATGATTTAAAAATAAAAAATTCCACTTCAACATACTTTATTCACAAAACCCAAATTTATCTCCATTCCTGAGTTCTGTCTATACCAGCATCTATGTGTTTTCAAAGTGTTGGTTATGTTTAGCCATCCCCATCATCTTCCATTTCAACTACATTTCTCAAGAATGTGGTGGAAGAGTCTTTGTGTGTGTGTATGCAAGGTACAGAATTACACATATAAGAAGCCAGTATGCTCAGCCCTAAAATTGGTTGTGTGGAGAACCTGCTTTCCTTATGCACTTCTACAGAAGATGTTATTCCTCCTAATACAAAAGGAAAGGTGGTCTTAAACATTTTTTTTAATAGTAATGACTTTGGTTTCTTCAGGATATTTTCTGCTGTTGTATTTCGTGAAAATCTGAGCCATTTAGAAAAGTGTATAGTTTAGCAGATACCAGTGTTTTTGTTAAAAGCCTACTAATTCTTAAGAACTAGTAGAATTGCTTCTAGAATTCTGTGGAATTTGGTCCATTGCTTAAAGTAATTGGGTAATTTCACAGTAGAGTCAGAAATTCTCAGTACTCAGCCAGTCCTGAATTTAAGATCACCATGACAGTGATCTGGTGATATATTTGGGAGGAGCTGAAGGTGTATTGTTTACCATGCCTAAGCTTTCAGATCATGTAGAGTTAATTACTGATCAGTTGATCTGGCTCTAAGAAAACAACTACCCTTTAAAAAAACTTCCACAAGGTTAGTTTTATTTGGTGTAGACTAAATGTCTACCAGAGAGAGATGCTTAATCGTGCAAAATTATATTAATAGAAGATTTGGCCAATATTTTCTGTAAAGTTACTATCAATGCTTTTTAAAAAATAACATTGTATATCAATTTTAGTATTGCTTTATATTTTAATCTGGGAAACAGGTCAAAGCAATAAGTGCTTCTTAAAATTTACCCAAAGATCTGTCTGGTGCAGAATATTTAAGTGTCTGTAGCTGTATAGCATAGTGGCTTTAAGGAAAAGGTTTGAGTAACTACTCAAGCTGGTAAACACTTAAATGTGAATTCTCCGTATATAATTTAGGTGATCTTGCTTATCAATAAACATTTGAGAAAAATGTTTAATTCTAGTAAGATAGCGAACCCAAATTAAGGTTTCATCATGTCTTGTGGTATTGAAAATTCTTAACTTAAATCTTATTTGTGTAACATGAGTAACATGATCTTTTTCATGTTAAAAAGAGGATTGCAAAAAATACATGAAATTGCTAGTTTATTTCTCCATAGTATGAGTTTTCAGTGTTAGAGTAGGACCTACCAAAAACTCTTTTCCTAGATTTTGTCTTTATAAGTATTATAAAGGTAACTAACTTTTTTCTTTTCAGAAAGTACAGTAATATTTACGTCAACCTGTTAATGCTTAGGAAGGGTTAGCATTAAATGGATTGATCCTGTACATCAATCAAGACTAGATAATCAGCTAAAAGTCAGCTATTTATTGAAAATGTTAAGTCTAGTGTATACCTAATGTTGATAATTGATACATTGTCCATTCATTTCACAGTCATTGAGTGTTTTATGTTTTAGGAGTCAGAAATGCAAAATTAGTAAGTCATGATTATCCTAATTTAGAGAAGATTCCAGAGGGCAGTAATAAACTCATAAATAGTAGTGATAATCATCAAAATGAAACTTCCAGAAGCACCATTGGAAATTTGAAAGGTTCTGTATTCCTAATAAAACATTCTTAATGGGAACACATGAACAATGTATGATTTATATTATTCCTGGAGAGCAGAAGAGTTTGTAAAAATGTTTTTGTCATGCTTATTATTATTTTTTTTTGAGGAACATTATGTTTACTATACTTCCCCCTTCACCAAGCCTCCCCCCCCCATACCCCATTAGTCACTGTCCATCAGCATAATAAGATGCTATAAAATCACTACTTGTCTTCTCTGGGTTGCACAGCCCTCCCCGTGCCCCCTCCCCCCATATTATACATGCTAATCGTAAGGCCCCCTTTCTTCTCCCCACCTCCCCCCCATCTCCCTCCCTTCCCATTCATCTTCCCCAGCCCTTCCCTTTGGTAACTGTTAGTCCTTTCTTGGGTTCTGTTTTGTTCCTTCAGTCTTTCCATTGTTCTTATATTCCACATATGAGTGAAGTCATTTGGTACTTGTCTTTCTCCTCCTGGCTTATTTCACTGAGCATAATACCATCTAGCTCCATCCATATTGTTGCAAATGGTAGGATTTTCTTATGGCTGAATAATATTCCATTGTGTATATGTACTACATCTTTATCCATTCATCTACTAATGGACACTTAGGTTGCTTCCATTTCTTGGCTATTGTAAATAGTACTGTGATAAACATAGGGGTGCAATGTCATGCTTTTTTTAAGCTAAGTAAAATTTTTAGTGTCCAATGGACGTGAGCAAGTTAACTTGATTTAAAGTATTTTTACCTATACAGTTCAAATTTGAATTAAAGAAAACATAAAAACATAAAGATGGGGTGAGTGAAGTGTGTGTGAATGTGAAAGAACAAATGTGAAGGTAGGTTTTTTTCCTTGTATTTTTATCTTTTCCATTACTGAAAAGTTTGAAACTCTTCCTGTTCCCCTTTCCTGGAGGTAAACACGTTGCTTCATTCAAATGGAATAGATTTACTAAAAAGATTTTTTCTCCATACCCTCTAACTAGTCAGGTTCCTTGTGAGGGCAAGCTGTTTGAAGTTTTATTAAGTTGTACAAACTGGTTAATCTAGAGTCTGATAATATATTTTTTGTCTGGAGTTATTATAGGACATTAATACATTTGACAGGAGTGACTACAGATTGGGAAAGATAAATGTAATAGCTCCTTTTCAGAAAAAACTCAGGATGACAAGTCTCAAAGAATCTATGGTTTAACCCAGTAGCTTTCCAACCTTTAGTTCTTGTTCTCTATTATTTTTCACCCAAGAAAAAAAAGTTCTTAAAAAGTTCTAAGACCTTTAACTGCCAGCTGAACTTTAAGTTACAAGAGAGAACTGAGCTTACTTAATGCATTAAACTGGTTATAATTTCAGTAAAAAAAAAAAAAGCTTGATGGAAGAGGTAATACTGAATATTTTTAATGGACTGTCATTGTCTTAAGTTATTTGAACTTCTTGATCCTGTAATGTTAAAGTATAAATGTAGAAACTGAGGCACCTTATTTTTTGGTCCAAGGCCTCTTAAGTAGAAATGGCCAATCTGGTATTAAACCCAGGTGGGTCTGATACCAGAGTTCATGTTTTAACAGCCACTCTATACTGCCTTCTGGATTTTACTTGCTCTGTGCAGTCTTATCAGGTCAATGTCATTAGGCTTCTTTGAAATTGAAAAACTGGGATACCACCACCTGGTTAAACTAGTGTTTTCCCAGTTCAGAAATAGAGGTGCTGCCAAGGACTAATACAGAAAGAAGAGCTTAAGAATTATTTTGTGTTGATAGTAAGTTAATGATAACCTCTGAATAGCTGAGAAACTCCCCTTTTGTAAATAAATGTGCTATCAGTGTAGTCTCCATTAATTAAACCTTTTTTTTGTACTTCCATCAAAAGTTTAATAAGCACCTTGTGATTTGAGACTCCCTTTTATCAATTTTAAAACATCCCTTAGTTACAGTGTTTCAGGATTCGTTTAAATGTTAAAATGGAACCAGACTCTCGTATTCTACAACCATGATTGATTTTACATGGAATTCAATTTTATTGTCTCAACTTTCTTTCCAGATAGATGGGAGTTCTTATTCTTTGAAGGTAAAAGCCACTTAATTTTTGTAAACAGTTCTTAGTTGCCCTGTTTTGTACCTTCCCTAGGTTTCTTTTTATGTCTTTGAAGTGGCTACTGGAAGGTCATAAATAAAGTATACTGGGTGCATACATAACCATGGCTTGTGTACTGTTGATTATCTTTTTTTTTTAACACCTTTCTAATACCCAGAATTCTTACCTTGTGTGTGTGTGTTAGAAGTGGGGCGTTATTGTTTGCATTTCATTTCATAACTCGCATGATTTGCCTAAGCTAGGATCATAGAATAAAGATGAAGCAGAATCAGAACTTACTTCCCAATAGTTTTTCAGTCACTGATCCTGGGGAAAGAAGCCTGCAGTATACAAAAGCAAAGTTGAATGGCATCCTGATTCCTTGTTAACTTTAGAGAAATCTATTCCTGATAGTAACAGCCTATCTACATACATGGTTGGTGAGTAAACCATTCAGCAGTAACAGAACTGAAACTTAGCCTGGAAGGTATTCATCAAAGTCAGACTGGCTTTTACACTTTGCACTGGTACCAACTTTAGAATTCTGTATAGATATCTGATGAACCAAGGTGCCCTCTGTTGCTTTGGGGTTGGTTCCATCTGACTGTGTCTGCTTAAGGGATTCAAAATTACAGTTCATTTTAAGTGCTGTTCAGTCAAAGCTGGTATGCTATAGTGGCAGTCATCTTAAGGCCATTTCAGTTGCCTTTTTTCTCCCTATCATCATCCTTGATCTTGTTTTTCGCACAATTGAGTAAACCTTCAAAATTTAAAGCTTTTGCTGGCTCTGCTTGACTCATAATTCTGTGTTATTTCCTCGTTCCTATAATGCCCCCTTTGTATTTTGCCCCTCTTTAGGGACTTCAACCACTGTTAGGGCAACTAAGGTTTTATATCTCCAGCCCCCAGTCTTTCACTCGATTGTCATGTGCCTCCAGATCCCATGTAACTTGATATTGTTGAAAAATAGTTAACTAGCATGTGTTCATTTAACAAACGCTTAGTGAGTACATATGTTCCCAACACTGCTGGCACTGGGGGATTATGGGGGTGCATCTGGCATAGGGAACGAAACCTTAAAGACATAGCCATGATAGAGGTATTTGGGGAGCACGTTTTGATCCTACAGGTTGCCATCTTAATAGTTCTGTTGAGTTTTCTTTTCAGTTGTATTGATCCGTCTACAGTGTTTTTCCTTTAATTTCTTTAGTCATTAACCTACTATACTAGGGTGGCATTTCTTACTCTTACAGGAGAATGACGTGGAACCAGTGTAGAAAAGAAATACCAGACCAACCATAGGAAGTAACAGCTGTACTTTAGTACTTTTTGATTGGAAAACATATTAAGATTCTAGGAATTCAGCAATATTTTTAAGTGAATTAAGTTTCATTAATTACAGAGCTTTTTTTTGTATCATTAATGTACAATTACTTGAACAACATTATGGTTATTAGACTCCCCCTATTATCAAGGCTCCCCAACATACCCCATTACAGTCACTGTCCATCAGCATAGTAAGATGCTATAGAATCATAATTACAGAGCATTTATACCCAAATAATGTTCAGTGTACTGGAAATATTACAGTGGGTATTAGACAGTCTTTTATGAAGCTAATGTATTATTAAGGGAGAAAATTCCCATTTAGTCTGTTTTATGCGCCCCAAATTCCAAGATTGTAGGTTAAGAAGCATTGCTGTGTGCCTTATAAATCAATTCCTGGATTACTCTTCCTAGTGTTCCTACATGATCTCTCTTAACTACTATACTATTTATCCTATGCAGTCACCATAATAATTAATCACATGAACACCAATATTCACATTACATCATTGTGTCAAAACTAAATTATTGAAATTTGAGACCTTTTATGTTTCCTGGCAACTTTGCTTTCAAACCTGTTTATTCCTTTCCCAATCTGTGATTGTGTTTACTCCTATACTGTTAACCTTAGAAAGGTTACTGCCTTTGTGCACCTTGCTTTAACCTATTACTTCCTAGCAGTTACTTTGAAAATTATTCCATTTTCCTATTTTAGGTTGGAATGTGGTATCATTCATGAAATTGGAATATATGGTTGAGCCATCAAAATTGCCATATACAAAAGGATTTCTAGACTCTCACAGTGGCCCACTTCAAGGAGTATTTAGAATAACTTAAGTGGCAGTTTGACAATACTATTGTACTGAAACTTGTTATTTAGATGCTGTGGGTAACAAAATCTGGAAAGAGAAAATGCAGAAGGGTCAGAATCATTTGGATATGAGAGTTTTGCAGTCATGTTTTGAGGCTGAACCTAGTAACTCAAGAGAACTTGAGAAGATTATCTGCTTTTTACTATTACAGAGCAATCTTGCTTCATAGTTGTCAAAATCCCACTCGGAGGTACACAGAGCAAACAGAAAAATGGCCTAGTTGGCCAGCCCTGCTAAAAGTTGCACAGGTGGATACCTGGATTTTCACATGCAGTGCCTTTCCTGAAGGCCAAGTTGCTGTGACATTACTACTGTATATGTCCATATTGCTGTAGTCATTCATACTATGGGCAGAATTGTTTATTTTAGTCATGGTGATAAACTCCCTTATACAAAGTCTGCTTGACCTCCCACCTTAATGACTTCAGTGCTCTCTCTGTCTCTTCCTGGGGAAATTAACAAAAGATTTCTTTTTACCTGGACCTTTGCCTTGCCTAGTCCAGCCCCCCTCATATTAGTCAAAGAATACCTTCCTGTCATTGAGTTCCTGGTGTGTGCCAGACACATGAAGCTATAGATACTTTATATTATCTTTAATATTCACAATAATTGCTGAGTAGTTAGGTAGCAGTATTCCTATTTCACCAATAGGAAAACAGGCTCAGAGTGTGCTGAGTGACAGAGTTTTAGAGGTGGCTTGTGATGTAGCAAGTATTAGAACTGAAATTATGTTCATTTTTGTTTTTCTCTAGAAAACTATTCAGTTTTTCAGAGCTAGAGACGAAACATTTTAGGTTAGACATTGTGGGAAGTTTTGAATTACAATATAAAAAGAACCAAAGGTTTATTCTTCTGGAAAATTGAATTTAAATTTATAAAATTTAACTTGATGTGTGCTTCTGTTGTCCTGCCCTTAGTATTGTAAAATATTTTCTTCTCAACATTTTGTGATTGATATATGTTTGCTTCTTTATGTATGCAAAAGCTTTAGTTTTGCAGAGGAAAGAGATAAAATAAGTTGGTTTTATACTTGGAGATACAGCCTGGTTGCTTTATCACCAAAGCAAACTTGAACATTCATCTCACCTGTCACTTAGCATGCAAACACGCTATTTAAGGGCATACTGCCTTCCATTTCCTTCTAATATCAGTAGTAACAATTGATGCCAGGCAAGAAGAGGGGTGCTGCCTTCTCTTTGTGTCAGCCACTACTATGTAAAGATAGCATTTTAAGGAATGTGTCTGAAGCTATTTTAAAAGTTATGTATCATTAGACACATTGTCCAAATTAAGAGCCAGTCAGGGAGATCTCTGCTTTTGTTCTTGCAAAAATAAAAGTAATAACCAATTTTTTAAAAAATGTAAGGGAGTATGTGTGTGTGTTTAATGCTAATGACATTTGTTCAGGTCCTTTTCAGGTGTTCTCCTTAATCTTCACTTCACTCTGCAGGTGAGAACACTGAGATGCAGGAACGCTTTGTAGTAGGTCCATGACTCAAGTACTGAATAACTGGTCTGTTCAAAAATAGAGCCCCTGAATATTGTAGAGAAAGGGTTTTTATTTTGTTCGTTTTAATTTTGGTATTTTCTCTCTCCCCCTCAGCTTTCCTCTGCCACACGTTCTTGGATTTTTTTTCCCCCCTTTATTTTTTTCCTTTTATTCCTTTTCAAAGGATTTCAGCATCCTCAGGAGCAGAAAGCTCTGGAAATGTATTCATAAGTTCTAAAAATTTTATAAAAGACTTCAAAATAATTATACATTATTGACCTGTGTCATATTAAAAATTTTTCATTTTGAATTGTTATTTAGGGGAAGGGCTATTAAAGTGTTCTTTCTGCCCATTTGTGATACATTTTAGATCTTCCCACATCTTTTCCTGGATATATTAATCAGGAGATGGTGTAGAGGTTTGGTAAGTAATATAGTTTGATTTTATACATCTCAAGGGTTTCTCATTCAGTCACATAGTTGAGTTTTCTTTATTATGGCCTTTTTCCCCCTGGTGGTTCTATTTGCAGTATTAACTGAAAATATTTGTGCTTAATGCTAATTTTGATCTTTTTTTTTTCACTAGCATGTATTGGAGCACTCAGACTTGAAGAAGGACATAGGTAAAAAGTATAATATGGAACACTGTAACATTAGGTTTATGAACTCTGAGGTGCATACTTGGCCATATTCAATCTGAAAATTATTTACAAAACAATTTAAGTCACATAGGTTTTGCCAAAAGGATCATGAATATTTCAGTTCCTTTTTATTTTTATAAATATAGCATCAACTCTCTATTCCGTAAGTTCAAACAGGTGGTCTTGTGTTACATTAGAAAATTTCTTAGGAGTTTAAAGTATTTCGTATTTGTGTGAAACTTTACACAGGTCTTGAACTATTTAATTGTGACCTGAATAACAAATACTAATCTAAAACAGTTTAGATGTACCATAATCAGGCCTTATTGTTGCTTTGTCCCAAATGCTTGCTTACTTCCCCAGAACCCTCATTGAATATAAATCCCATATCATGTCCCTCACTTACCTAAGTCAAGTGTGCCAAGGTGAACCCTGCGTGTCCTTACAAGTTCTTTTCTATAACTAGAAGTCGCAGAAGACCAAAAAGCCTTGGATGTGATGTGATGTATTCCTTTTTCTGCTTCATAAAGTTTATAGTGCCCTTTATCTTAATATAGAAACAAGATACTTAAATTTTAAAAAATGAATTTAGTTATACCAAAAATGAAAAATGGTAACACTTCTGTCAAATAAGTGTTCTTCAAAAATTAGGTATCTTCAGTGTTTTTTAGAGTTACTTGAAATATGCTTAAACTCCATTTACTTGGGGTAAAATGTCACAGTGAATGATTGAAAAGGATTAGGTTCTATAAAGTCAATGAGATCATGAGATTCTACATATGCATAATATACCACCTCCTCTCTTTTACTACTTTGTTTTGGTAAGTCTTTAAGAACAAGACAGCAATCTAGAAAAGATTTAGAAAAGGAATATATACAAATACTGCATATTTTACATCTCATAGTAACCTAATTTAGCAAGATTAAATTGGGAACTTGACTCAAGGTATCAGGTAGAACCATTAGCAAATTGAATAATTAAAAGAAACTAGTGGAGGGAGGCATGTGCAAGTTCAGGGCAATCAGAAAAAAAGATTGTAAGGCATCTTTGAAATTAGTTTGTTGTCAGGAAATTCATCTGGTATATAAAAATTGTATGTTCAGTAGATTTTTAAGAATTGACCTGCTTGATACAGCAAGGAGAAGCAGTGTTAATACAAGCCTGGCTGCTACCATTTGTACTACCTATGCCCCATTCATTTTTTAAAGTGGCATTCCAAGTTACTTAACAGCCACTGGCAAAGCTCATTCAGATCAACTTTTCTTGGCATTAGTATTTTGAAAAAGTTCAACTTAGATTGAAAAGGGGGAAGGTGGAATCACCCCTCTTCCAAGTGTCCTCCATTCATTTTTTTCCCTGACAGTCTGCAGTTGACCATGATTTCTAGGCTCATTCTTGGAACCAAAGGCAAGAAGAAAGGGAAAAGGGTGCTCATCAGGTAAACTGTTCGTAGCCCCTTTGACACTTTGGGTGGTAATTTACATGAAACATAATGCTTCCATTGCAGGTTTGCCTCTAGCTTCAACAGATTTCCCTTGAAATTTCCAGGAGCTAATTTAGCTCAATGTCTTTTTCAAAAAGGTAGAGGGAGAAGGAAGCCCACAAATGTTGGGAGAAGAGAATTTTGCAGAGAAAGTGTTTTTCTCAGAAAAAAAAAAGTTGCAGGGAATGAAGTGGGGTCAGCATTAGGGAAATAGGAAATGATGTAAAAGAAGTATTAAGTAATTGCTTCTATGTGTTTTACTTCAAATTAACATGAAATAAGTGTTTCAGTCCTTAAGCATGTAGTTGGGAAAAGGGAGAAGCCAGGCTGGAGGCACAAATTTGCTGCAGATGCTCTGTATCCAGGCAGCAGAAATGGCTCTAATGGCATTCAGTCCAAGAGCAGCAACATCTCAAAAGGAAAAATCTGTAAATAATCATGAGTCAAATAGCCTTCATCATCATCCAGCAAAAAGGCTAAGGCTTCATGAAGGGCATTTTGATGGTTTTATATTGTCAGGAAGATACATAAACAGGAAAAAATTTTGAAATTAATGTTCAGGATGATTTTTCTGGATTCTTATTCTCTTGACATAGTTAACATTTCACAACTAAATCTTAAATGTTTTTACAACTTTTTAAGTGCATTTTCATAAGCTGAGGCTGCAGAAATCTCCAATTTGTGGACAGTTTACACTTGACCCTTTGTTTACAATTATATCCACAGCATCCCTAAATTGGGAGAAACTGGCTCTTTAAAGTTGGCCATTTTGCCTCACTACTATTATCTAAGCCTAGTGTACAGGTTGTTGGCTTTGTTCCTGAACTGAGACTCAAGTGAAGAGAAGAGAACTGAGTAGAAGTGTTGGTACAAAGCCAGCAACTGGGCTCAAAACATGGACAGGCCACATTAATTTTTTTGAAAGGTTATTGAGCCCACCTCAGTCAGGAACACTGAATATTGGGTTTAAATAAAACAGTAATGTTACTCATTTTATATGCTTGCAATAAATATTTTAACCATGTGAACAAGAATGTAGCTGGGTTTGTTGCAAGGCAGAGTAATATGGTTATTACTGTGTTCTTGATTGTTAACACCACTGGAGAACACAAATAGGAATAACTCAAAGCAATTTAACTTTGAAGTGAGATTTTATGTAACTGTATATGTGAAATAGCTGATAATCCTCAGAATTTACTTCAAATGGATGATGAAAATACCTGTAAAAACTTAGTGCTAGGATCTCCATTTTTCTCATGTCCAGTGATCTCACCTTACAAACCAGGCTTGAAGAGAAACAAAAAATAATTCTCCAGATCATGAGGTTTAATCTCTTCAGTTGATGTAATGGAACAGGTATGACTGCATTTCACAGAGTGTCTCACCTCCACCTTCCCTTTTGAGTTCATAAGGACAATTGAGATGGCAGTGAAGCTGTGATTAAGATTATTAGATTATATTGGATTTGGAAATAACAGTAGAAGTTTCATAGTATGAGGGTTACAAACTCTCCTTGAAGGTAAGATTTATCATGAAAACTCATGATGAAAGCCTGAAGAATGAACAGGTTCAAAATACAAATCTTGAAACTTAGGAATTATTCTTGGCTGCTAAAATAATACAAACCTTGAGCAGAAGTCTATTGTTGCCAACTCTTTTCTCTTAGCAAGTCTAAACCAGGATGCATCTCAAACCTACAACAAACAGTATTTTATTTTTGCCTTATTTCTAGATACCAGTTTAACATAGTTGTGCTGCCCCATTTATTAGCTTTGAGAACTGTGTGTCTTGCTTTGAAAATTAACTTACATGGACAGTTTGTCTTCCTTCAAATGTTTTTTAACTGTACGCTAAGAAGCATTGAGACCAGCATTCATACAGCTTGTTCTCAGACTGGTTTTTTTTCTGATGTCATCCTAAATGGTGATTCTTTTCTTTCTTAAACTGAATTTTGCTTTGTTTTTCTTTATAAAAATGAAGAGTAGGTAACATGAGTCCCTCTTGCCTTTTGCTACTAGAATCTGGCATCAGGAGCAATTGTTGCTATGTCTGATGTTCATCCATGGATTTTCTGGGATGAAAGGTGTAAGATTCCAATGTTTATTATTTAATTACACAGTATAAGCAAATTTACTGCATCTCCTTCCTGTTCAGTGAACATCTAACCATGATGTTTTATATTCCTTACCCTTCTGGAATGTCAATCCAAAAACAAGTTATGGAAAGAGAAGAGTACTTTGAAAACACATTTTGAGATTACTTAAAAATAAATTCAACCTCCTCAAACCAGATGTGTTCATTATACTTAAAAAAAAAAATTGCTTGTAGTCATTTTGTTTTACCATTCATTAATTAGTACTCTTGCCTTATTTAGTCCCTGAAGGTAGTTTTATATGCTAACATTTGTTTTGCCTTTCTAGCTGCTAAGGTAGATAATGATTATTGCAAAGTGCGCATTTTTAAATGGTCTCCAGTGTGGACTGCTTGAGCCAGTGATAGAGTGAGTACTTTGAGGAAGAATGTGTCATTTGGAATCCAGGACCATTCAGCAAGGATAACTGCCTGATCTATGGTCAGAACACTCACTCTTACGGCTTATCAGTGGCTATCTCTTCTATTCCCCTAAACAAGTTTGGTTAGCCTCAAAGGTCCCCTAATCCAGCTACTCTCATTTCTGTCCCCAAAGTAGTGACCCTGTTCTTTGACTTTTGGGTGTCCCAAGAGTGTTGAAGTATCAGTATGTGAGTACAGCAAACCTGCTTACTCTTTTACTACTTTGTTTTGGTAAGTCTTTAAGAACAAGACAGCAATCTAGAAAAGATTTAGAAAAGGAATATATACAAATACTGCATATTTTACATCTCATAGTAACCTAATTTAGCAAGATTAAATTGGGAACTTGACTCAAGGTATCAGGTAGAACCATTAGCAAATTGAATAATTAAAAGAAACTAGTGGAGGGAGGCATGTGCAAGTTCAGGGCAATCAGAAAAAAAGATTGTAAGGCATCTTTGAAATTAGTTTGTTGTCAGGAAATTCATCTGGTATATAAAAATTGTATGTTCAGTAGATTTTTAAGAATTGACCTGCTTGATACAGCAAGGAGAAGCAGTGTTAATACAAGCCTGGCTGCTACCATTTGTACTACCTATGCCCCATTCATTTTTTAAAGTGGCATTCCAAGTTACTTAACAGCCACTGGCAAAGCTCATTCAGATCAACTTTTCTTGGCATTAGTATTTTGAAAAAGTTCAACTTAGATTGAAAAGGGGGAAGGTGGAATCACCCCTCTTCCAAGTGTCCTCCATTCATTTTTTTCCCTGACAGTCTGCAGTTGACCATGATTTCTAGGCTCATTCTTGGAACCAAAGGCAAGAAGAAAGGGAAAAGGGTGCTCATCAGGTAAACTGTTCGTAGCCCCTTTGACACTTTGGGTGGTAATTTACATGAAACATAATGCTTCCATTGCAGGTTTGCCTCTAGCTTCAACAGATTTCCCTTGAAATTTCCAGGAGCTAATTTAGCTCAATGTCTTTTTCAAAAAGGTAGAGGGAGAAGGAAGCCCACAAATGTTGGGAGAAGAGAATTTTGCAGAGAAAGTGTTTTTCTCAGAAAAAAAAAAGTTGCAGGGAATGAAGTGGGGTCAGCATTAGGGAAATAGGAAATGATGTAAAAGAAGTATTAAGTAATTGCTTCTATGTGTTTTACTTCAAATTAACATGAAATAAGTGTTTCAGTCCTTAAGCATGTAGTTGGGAAAAGGGAGAAGCCAGGCTGGAGGCACAAATTTGCTGCAGATGCTCTGTATCCAGGCAGCAGAAATGGCTCTAATGGCATTCAGTCCAAGAGCAGCAACATCTCAAAAGGAAAAATCTGTAAATAATCATGAGTCAAATAGCCTTCATCATCATCCAGCAAAAAGGCTAAGGCTTCATGAAGGGCATTTTGATGGTTTTATATTGTCAGGAAGATACATAAACAGGAAAAAATTTTGAAATTAATGTTCAGGATGATTTTTCTGGATTCTTATTCTCTTGACATAGTTAACATTTCACAACTAAATCTTAAATGTTTTTACAACTTTTTAAGTGCATTTTCATAAGCTGAGGCTGCAGAAATCTCCAATTTGTGGACAGTTTACACTTGACCCTTTGTTTACAATTATATCCACAGCATCCCTAAATTGGGAGAAACTGGCTCTTTAAAGTTGGCCATTTTGCCTCACTACTATTATCTAAGCCTAGTGTACAGGTTGTTTTGCTCTTTGGCTTTGTTCCTGAACTGAGACTCAAGTGAAGAGAAGAGAACTGAGTAGAAGTGTTGGTACAAAGCCAGCAACTGGGCTCAAAACATGGACAGGCCACATTAATTTTTTTGAAAGGTTATTGAGCCCACCTCAGTCAGGAACACTGAATATTGGGTTTAAATAAAACAGTAATGTTACTCATTCTATATGCTTGCAATAAATATTTTAACCATGTGAACAAGAATGTAGCTGGGTTTGTTGCAAGGCAGAGTAATATGGTTATTACTGTGTTCTTGATTGTTAACACCACTGGAGAACACAAATAGGAATAACTCAAAGCAATTTAACTTTGAAGTGAGATTTTATGTAACTGTATATGTGAAATAGCTGATAATCCTCAGAATTTACTTCAAATGAATGATGAAAATACCTGTAAAAACTTAGTGCTAGGATCTCCATTTTTCTCATGTCCAGTGATCTCACCTTACAAACCAGGCTTGAAGAGAAACAAAAAATAATTCTCCAGATCATGAGGCTTAATCTCTTCAGTTGATGTAATGGAACAGGTATGACTGCATTTCACAGAGTGTCTCACCTCCTCCACCTTCCCTTTTGAGTTCATAAGGACAATTGAGATGGCAGTGAAGCTGTGATTAAGATTATTAGATTATATTGGATTTGGAAATAACTAACAGTAGAAGTTTCATAGTATAAGGGTTACAAACTCTCCTTGAAGGTAAGATTTATCATGAAAACTCATGATGAAAGCCTGAAGAATGAACAGGTTCAAAATACAAATCTTGAAACTTAGGAATTATTCTTGGCTGCTAAAATAATACAAACCTTGAGCAGAAGTCTATTGTTGCCAACTCTTTTCTCTTAGCAAGTCTAAACCAGGATGCATCTCAAACCTACAACAAACAGTATTTTATTTTTGCCTTATTTCTAGATACCAGTTTAACATAGTTGTGCTGCCCCATTTATTAGCTTTGAGAACTGTGTGTCTTGCTTTGAAAATTAACTTACATGGACAGTTTGTCTTCCTTCAAATGTTTTTTAACTGTACGCTAAGAAGCATTGAGACCAGCATTCATACAGCTTGTTCTCAGACTGTTTTTTTTTCTGATGTCATCCTAAATGGTGATTCTTTTCTTTCTTAAACTGAATTTTGCTTTGTTTTTCTTTATAAAAATGAAGAGTAGGTAACATGAGTCCCTCTTGCCTTTTGCTACTAGAATCTGGCATCAGGAGCAATTGTTGCTATGTCTGATGTTCATCCATGGATTTTCTGGGATGAAAGGTGTAAGATTCCAATGTTTATTATTTAATTACACAGTATAAGCAAATTTACTGCATCTCCTTCCTGTTCAGTGAACATCTAACCATGATGTTTTATATTCCTTACCCTTCTGGAATGTCAATCCAAAAACAAGTTATGGAAAGAGAAGAGTACTTTGAAAACACATTTTGAGATTACTTAAAAATAAATTCAACCTCCTCAAACCAGATGTGTTCATTATACTTAAAAAAAAAATTGCTTGTAGTCATTTTGTTTTACCATTCATTAATTAGTACTCTTGCCTTATTTAGTCCCTGAAGGTAGTTTTATATGCTAACGTTTGTTTTGCCTTTCTAGCTGCTAAGGTAGATAATGATTATTGCAAAGTGCGCATTTTTAAATGGCCTCCAGTGTGGACTGCTTGAGCCAGTGATAGAGTGAGTACTTTGAGGAAGAATGTGTCATTTGGAATCCAGGACCATTCAGCAAGGATAACTGCCTGATCTATGGTCAGAACACTCACTCTTACAGCTTATCAGTGGCTATCTCTTCTATTCCCCTAAACAAGTTTGGTTAGCCTCAAAGGTCCCCTAATCCAGCTACTCTCATTTCTGTCCCCAAAGTAGTGACCCTGTTCTTTGACTTTTGGGTGTCCCAAGAGTGTTGAAGTATCAGTATGTGAGTACAGCAAACCTGCTTAATGATTATAGGGAGCAAAAAGAAATTTTGTTAGCTAAACTACATGAAGTGTAGAAAGTTTTGGACCTCTATAATTTTGCAAAGCATGGAGCCATTTCCTGGTTGTAAATTTCACATGAATTATTCAATATTTTCCTCCTAAGTTAATTTCAGTGCTAATTTCCTATAAGAAAGAATTGAATGGAATAAGCTTATATTTAAATTGAAACTAAATTTAAACTTGTACTGATAATCAGAGTTCACTTCTCTTCTGATATAAGTGGTATATAAATAAAATATCCATTTAAAATTTGACCAACAAATTAGAAATTGAGAACAATTCACTATTTTATTCCCTTTGAATTGTTTAACACTCCAGAATAAATCAAGAATGCGTACTTACTTAATTGGTCAACTATGGTTGGTCTTCATGGGAATTACATCTTCACTCAACATTTATTAAGGAATAAAAAACCTTTAGGCTATAACAAACCTTTAAGTTGACTAAAAGCTGAATCTCATTAAGGAACAGAACATGTAATTCATTTCCACATCCTTTGAGGTATGACTCGTCCCTGTTAAAGTTGTGAGACTCAAAACTACGCCCAAATCACTTAATTTTATGTCCTTCCCTGTTTACTGTGTCTGACCTTCAAGATTTCGTGACTGATGCTGAAATGGAAACCATCCAGTGCAGAAATATGGGGGAAAATGAATCTGAAGAATGCAAAGGGAAGTAGGAATTCATTTCTAGCATTCCCAGACCTGCTTTGTCACGTCAACTCAACTGCAGTCAGAGGAAAAGAACTGAATTCATGGAAATTACCAACTAAGCCTTACATCTGTCTTTAATGTTTTTAGGAAATAAACTGAAAAGGTAAGTAAGATGTCTGTTTTGAGAAAGGCTCTATTAAGTACTTTAAGACCAATTTGTATTAATAAAGGTGGACAGCTGCTTTACTGTGAGCTTCAAAAAGTCTTGCCCCCCATTTGGTGTGGAGGTGGAGTTCCAAGAAACATGGAGCTTTTCTTCTTAGCATTTAATCTAGAACTTACATTGAAATATACAGAGTGCCAATTATTTTGTTCTCAAATCCTTTCTGTAAAAATTACTTCAGTTGAATTTTAATTTTATCCCTCACTGTGTACAGCAAAACTTTTTAAATAGTGCAGAGCTCCTACCAGAACTAGATTTTTATTATATATAATCAGATAAGAGTAAAACTTGGGGTTTTTATAGGTCTCTATTAACATCCACCTATATTGGTTTTATAGATAAAATTTTTAATTACTAGGATTAAATTGCTCCACATTTATTACACACCTTTGTAATAGGCATTGTATCAGCCCTGGAATTCAGAGATGAACCAGCATACAGTTCAAGTCCTCAAGGAGTTTTTTGGGTTTTTTTGATAAAATGCATATTGAATTCTAGTACAGGGAATCCAAATTAATGAAATGATGCTAATACCAGTTCCCCATCAACAGTCCCTTCTAACTAGCATGTTAATCTGAATATGACAAATTGTTTGAAAGATCCTGCATATGTGTGTGCTTGTATGTGTGTGAGACATTCACAAAACACTTCTTGTGTGCCAGGTACTATTATAAGCTCTATACATAATACATGTTTTTTAAATCCTCATAACTATCCTGTGGGGTAATTACTATTATTAAAGCCCATTTTCTAAGGTATTAAGCCAGGGAATTTAATTGACTTGCCCAAGTTTGCTAAACAGTGGTCTAAGACTACTATTTGAACCCAGACAGGCTGATTGCAGAGCCTGCACTTAATTTGGGTATGATAGATATTGAGTACCCATTAGACAGTGCAAATCCTTAGTGAAATTTGCCTGGTTTTTAAAAAGTTCCAATAACAGACTAGAGATGAAATAATAGTCAAACCCTGAATATAACCAGAAATTCCCTTCAACTCCTGTCATTTTGCATAATGGCTTCCCTCCCACCTCTTCCCCCTGAACAACCCTCCAACAGAATGCATGCGCACATACAAAATTTAAAGAACTAGAACACAGAAACAGCTCATCATGACTATGTTTTATATTCTGTATTTTCCATTGGGTCTACCTCTTTCTTTTTGGAATATGAACATTTTCTTTAGCTGCTAAATCATGAGAAATTGTGACTGCTGACACTTTACCTAGGATTCTTAAAAAAAAAAATGGTTCTGTGCAGGAGTACAGGGAAACCTCTGAGACACTCAGGTAGGTAATTTACTTCCTGTTGTATGCATAGTTTATTTGAAACTTTTTGCATCTCTGTTCCCAGTTTTATACTCCTGTAAATCTGACTTGACCTTTAATAAACTGTTTTCTGAAGTGAGTGGTTTTTTTGGTCTCATTTCCCATTTGGCTATGTATCTCCTTTGGTCACCTTCTATATGTTATTACCACCCACTTCAAGACTGGTGGTTTAATTAAAGTAAGAACATTATATATTATATTCCTAGTGCTATTGAGGGTTAAAAATATATATATTCCAAGGCTTTGCTATTAGTTCAGTGCAGGTGCCATGCAGTACTAAAACCTTGCAAATTTTTAAAGGAAAAATCATGTTATAAAATAAATGTGACCAGTGGCTGACTGTATCTCAAGCAATTGTGACAGAATTACCTTGGTGAAATGAAGTTAACTATTCCATGAATAAGGAAATTAACTGGAGAACCAATCTNGAAATGAAGTTAACTATTCCATGAATAAGGAAATTAACTGGAGAACCAATCTTGGTAATCTTGTAGATCAGCACTTCTCAAACTTTGTGATTCACCTGGGGATCTTATTAAAATGCAGATTTTGATTAAGTAGTTTTGGTGTCAACTGGAGAATCTGCATTTCTTTTCTCTTTAAGTTTTTATTGAAATAAAATTCATAAATTCACTCCTCAAAAGTGTACAATTTGATGTGTTTTTTTTTAACATGTAGAGTTGTGCAACTGTCACCACTGTCCACATTTTCAAAGTGCCAAAAAAGCAATCCTGTACCCATTAGCAGTCATCTCCATTCCCCTCCTCACCCACCAAGTCTCTGACAACCATTAATCTATGGATTTACCTATTTTGGACATTTTATGTAAATGGAGTCATTATGTGGACTTATGTAACTGGCTTTCAATATGATGTATTTAGGGTGTGTCCATGTAACATGTATCAGATACTTCATTTTTATGGCTGAATAATATTCCATTTCTTGGACATAACACATTTTATCTTTTCATCAGTTGATGGACATTTGGGTTTCTACCTTTTGCTATCTTGAGTAATGTTGAACATTAACATGAACATTTGTGTACAAGATTTTGTGTGAACATGTGTTTTCATTTCTGTAAGGAATATACCTAAGAGTGGAATTGTTGGCTCATACAGTAACTTCTTTTTTAATTGTGGTAAGAACACTTAGCTCATGAGGTCTACCCTGTTAGTTTTTAAGGCACAGTATAAGTACTGTTAACTATCAGCACACTGTTACACAGCAGATCTCAGTTATACATTAACTTTAACACTTTGAGAACCTGCTAATCTACTCTCTAAAGTAGCTGCACCATTGAAGAGTCTGCATTTTTGGTAAGCTCCCAGGTGATGCTGAATAGCAGGCTCTAGATTGCTTTTGAGCACCTATTATAAGTGAACATGATCTTTAACTTAGTTCAACTGGCAGTGTCTGGCCAGCAGCAAAGGTGGTGTTTTGGCTTTTACAAGGTCTCGGTGCTCCATTTCCTCTGATGTTAAGCCTTACTGCTCCAAGGGCTTCCTCATTCATCTAGCTTTTGACCTCTTTGTGTAAATTGATACAGCTGATACCTAAATGGGAAGAGAATACTCATTTTTAAAGGCAGCTCTAAGTTGAGAGTGCCCATAAAAT